TCTCACTCTGTTGCCCAGTGGCACAGTCTCGGCTCACTGCAACCTCTGCTTCCTGGGTTCAAGCAATTCTCCCCACAGCCTCCCAAGTAGCTGTGATTACAGGCACCAGCCACCACGCCCGGCTAATTTTTGTATTTTTAGTAGCAACGGGGTTTCACCATCTTGACTAGACTGGTCTTCAACCCCTGATCTCTTGATCCACCCGCCTTGGCCTCCTAAAGTGCTGGGATTACAGCTGTGAGGCACTGCGCCTGGCCACATAAAGCTTTTAAAAATCAAATAACAAAATAGATACTCGAAAAAACAACAGACTAGGTAACTCTCACACACATATGCACGCCCTCCACATACACAAAATCGCTAGTAAATATATGGAAAATATTTAACCTTATCAATTGAATACATAAAAATAAGATAGCATTCCTTTATATACCTTCTTGATAAAGATTTTTAAAAAAATAATACACAGAATATATAGTACTTTTGAGGGTAGAGACAAACATTGATAATGTAAACTGGCACAGCCTCTCCAGAAGACAGTTTAGCAATAAATACCTTTAAAAAAATTCCTGGGCAGGGCGCGGTGGCTCACGTCTGTAATCCAAGCACTTTAGGAGGCTGAGGCAGGCGGATCACAAGGTCAGGAGACCAAGACCATCCTGGCCAACATGGTGAAACCCCATCTCTACTAAGAATAAATTTGAGACTCTGTCTCAAAAAAAAAGAAATGTTTCCTAGGAAATTATCATGAATCTACACAAAGATGCGGCTACAAAAATATTAATCTCAATAGTAATTCAGAGTAGCAAAAAACTGAAACCATATTAGGATGAAGGTTGACAGGGAAGTTTATAACAGATGTATCCTACTGGAAACAACACTGCTCAATCTCAACATCACGAAAAGTGAGAAAACCACATATGATGTGCCTCCTGATGTGAGGCAGTGGGAAGTGCAGTAGACAGCACAATCTATAAAGTCCTTCTGCTCCCCACAATTTGACCCAGGTCTACCCAAGTGTACAGATCTCTCAGCCTAGTGGAAACATGTGGGTTTAATTCCATTAAAATGAGGTTCAAGAACAATCAAAATAAATTAATGATGATAGAAAGTCAGAATAGTGCTTATTTGTGGGGCTGGTACAGATTAGGAAGGAACAAAAGGAAACTTTATTAGAAGTTACTAGAAGTTTCACTATATTGATGATTGTAATGGTAAATAAAGAACCATAAAGCTATAGTCTTAAAATTCAAATACTTGGCCAGGCACAGTGGCTCATGCCTATAATCCCAGCACTGTCGGGGGCCAAGGTGGGTGGATGACCTGAGGTCAGGAGTTCAAAACTAGCCTGGCCAACATGATGAAACCCCATCTCTACTAAAAATACAAAAATTAGCTGGATGTGGTGGCGCTCAGCTACTCAGGAGGCTATCGTCTGGAGAATCGCTTGAACCTGGGAGGTGGAGGTTGCAGTGAGCTCAGATTGTGCCACTGCACTCCAGGCTGGGCGACAGGGTGAGACTCTGTCTCAAGGAAAAAAAAAATTCATATAATTCAGGCGGGTGCTGTGGCTTATGCCTTAATCTCAGCACCCTGGGAGGTGGAGGTGGGAGGATTGCTTGAGTCCAGGAGTTTGAGATCATCTGGGTAACATAGTAAGACCTCATCTCTATAAAAAATTTAATAAATAGCTGGGTGTGGTGGCACACACCTGTGGTCCTAGCTATTCAGGAAGCAAAGGCAGGCAGATCACCTGAGACTGACAAGTCAAGGATCCAGTGTGCCATGACTGCACCACTGCACTCTAGCCTGGGCAAGAGAACAAGACCCTGTCTCAAAAAGAAAAAAATCATATACTTTATGTACTTTACTGTATATATGTAATACCTCAGTTTTTTTTTTTAATGGAAAGAAGAAAAGCTTCTGCTGATTTTGCACCATGATCTAGTGGCAGGAAGACAAGGTGTGGCTAGGGAACTAGCGTGATACAGAGATTGTTTTGTCTTATTTAAGGCTTCTAGTGATATTCAGTGTGACAGCTAATGGTTAAGTCTATGAAGCACAGGTTAAAGAAAGGAATCTTCTCTCAATTCTATGTTATATAGCCAGTATAAAAATATCCAAAGTGTACTTGCCGGCTTATGGAGAAATTCATCTTAATTTAACCTCTCTCTTTAGAATGAACTACTGTTTTCTTTGTCCTTGTTCCCTAGGGTCCCACCTCCTAGCTCCATATGAGCACTCAATAAACAGCAAAAAATATTTGTTTTCCTTCATTTTTAATCTTAAAAAAATTTTTAAATCTTTGTCATGTAGGGAAAAATAAAGTTTTGCACAACCCTTATTGTACATCAAACACCATTGTAAGAATTACCTTATTTAATCTTTACAACAGCCCTAGGAATAAGTGTTATTAATATCCTCATTCTGGCTGGGCGCAGCCGCTCATGCCTGTAATCCCAGGACTTTGTGCGGTCAAGACGGAAGGCAAAGACTGCTTGAGGCCAGGAGTTCAAGACCAGCAAGGGCAACATGGTGAAAACCCCATTTCTACAAAAATACAAAAATTAGCCAGGTGTGGCGGCATGCACCTCTAGTCCCAGCAATTCAGAAGGCTGAGGTAGAAGAATCACAGCCTCAGAGGTCAAGGCTGTAGTGAGTCATGTCAGTGTCACTGAACTCCAGTGTGATCAACAGAGGGAAACCCTGTTGCAAAAATAACAACAACAACAACAACAAAACCAAACCAATAATATAATCATTTTACACATTAGAACACTCAGGACCCAAGGTTAAGAAACATTACCCTCAGTTGGGCACGATGGTTCATGACTGTAACCCGGCACTTTGGCAGGCAGAGACAGGAGGATTGCTTAAGTCCAGGAGTTTGAGACCAGCCTGGGCAAGATAGGGAGACTCTGTCTCTACAAAAAAATAGAAAATTAGCTGAGCATAGTGGCACACGCTATGAGGGATGATTGCTTGAGCCCAGGAGGTTGAGACTACAGTGAGCCATGAATGTGCCACTGCTCTCCAGCCTGGGCAACTGAGTAAGGCTCTGTCTTGAAAAAAGAAAGAAACATTTCCCTGACCACACAGCTGGTAAGTGGAGCATTTTCTCGATCACACAGCCAATAAGAAGCAGTTCAGAGGCTGGGTGCAATGGCTCAGACTTATAATCCCAGCACTTTGGAAGGCTGAGGTGGGAGGATCACTTGTGCCCATGAGTTTAAGACTAGCCTTAAAACATAGTGAGACCCCACCTCTAAAAAAAAAAAAAAAAAAAAAAGCAGCAGCAGTTCAGGATTTGAACATTTGAACTGAGGCAGTGTGTCTATGTGTCTACAGCCTATCCCTTAACTACTGCTCTCAGGTTATACAGCCTATTGCAACTTCCTTCAAGTTGGTGGTTCAATTCTCAACACTATCACTTACCAGCTGAAAGAGTCTTAGAAAAATTGCTGAAGGTGTTTGAGCTACAGTTTATTCATCTATAAAACGAAGGGTTTGATAACAGCCTCTTTATAAGGTTTGTTGGGAAATTAGATGAGATTATATATATGGACAACCTAGCACACAGCAGACATTCAACAAGAGTCAGCACTCTTCCTTCCCTGCTTGACATTCCTCTTCTTTATTCTGAGAGAGTCTCGCTCTGTTGCCCAGGCTGGAGTGCAGTGGTATAATCACTCCTCACTGCAGCCTCGACCTCCCAGGCTCAGGTGATCCTCCCACCTCAGCCTCCTGAGTAGCTGGGACTACAGGTGTGTGCCACCATGCCTGGCTAATTTTCAGTAGAGATGGGCTTTTGCCATGTTACCCGGGCTGGTCTTGAACTCCTGCCAGGCCTAAAGCGATCCTCCCAAAGTGCTGAGATTACAGGTGTGAGCCACAGTGCCCACCTGACATTCCTCTTCTTTTTGTGCTTGCTGCTGCTCAACAAGTGTGAGACTTCTCATTCCATCTCCATTAAAAATCAGGGCCCAATACAGCTCCAAGGGAAGGAGACTAAGCAGTTTTTTTTTTTTGATTGTTGTTTTTGAAACAGAGTCTCGTTCTGTTGCCCAGGCTGGAGTGCAGTGGCAGAATCTCGGCTCACTGCAACCTCCGCCTCCCAGGTTCAAGCAATTCTCCTGCCTCAGCCTCTCGAGTAGCTGGGACTATAGGCATGTGCCACCATGCACAGCTAATTTTGAATTTTTAGTAGAGGCAGGGTTTCACCATATTGACCAGGCTGGTCTCCAACTCCTGACCTCAAGTGACCCACGTGCCTCAGCCTCCCAAAGCGCTGGGAGTATAGGCATAAGTCACCACACCTCACCAGAGACAAAGCAGTTTTAAGAAAAAGGATATTGTTGCTTTCAGTTTCATAGTGGGCATCTAGAAATTTCCTAAATTCTAAATGGATACTAGTTCATCCCAGCCCTCACACTACCCTCACCATGCTAGTGTAACAAACCCCCAGGTACACACACTTTGGTTCCAAGTCACACTGCTCCTCCACCCTTTTCCAGGTGGATGGAAGAAGAAAACTCACCTAACGCCCTGACGATTCGCATTAGGACTTCCCCGACCTTCATTCTGGTCTCTGGTGTGTGCTCATCTTTGCTGCTGTCATATTGAGCCAACAGGTCCGGCAAGATTTTCTCAGGATAGACATCTGAGAGCAGGGCAACCCCTGGGGTTGAAAACAGAAAGAAAGGATTCATTACTGTTTAGGATTGAAAGGTAAACCCAGACATCCTGTGATGGGATGAACACAGAGACACTGAAAAGCATCTCTACAGTTCTCTCAGTAAGGGCTGCCTGTTGTTTGGAGAGTCAGCATAGTGAGTGGAAAGAAGATGGGCCTGGTAGTTGAGACTCCTGGATTTGTCTAGTCCCAGCCTAATATGATCTCTAAGGCCACTCCCAGCACTGACGTTCTATGATCCAGGTAATGCCTCCTGCCTTTGCTGTAGTTCTCCATTCCTGTATAATTTCCCTCTGTAGAACTGTCAGTGATGGGAGCAATTTCCACAAGGAAACATTTTCAGAGCATCCTGGACATGATCAATATTAGATCTAAGCTCATGGCTGAGTTTCCTGATCAACAGAAATAGGGAAGACCCTGATCTTGAGTCCCCCTGCTTCGTAGGACTTCCTGATATCCTCTCCCATCCATGGCAGTGCCTTCTAAATGTGTAACCTGGAACAGCGTTATAATAATCTGAGCCCAGCCCCATATTCAGCAAGCTTTATAGGGTGGCAGGGAGGTCAGAGATAACCAGACAGATCCAGAACAAAACCCCTGGTCAGCCTTAAAACTATATAAATATAAATTCTATGATTTAGGGAGGAAAAAGGTTACACACTGAAAAGAACAGGGAGACAAAAGAAAAAAAGTGAAGAAGGAATAGGTAGAAATAGGGGTTCCAGGATGAGAATCTACTTCTACCTCAACCACCCTGGCCCATCAACTCTGCTCTGGGTTTTTCCAATAATCCCCTCATTGGTTTCCCTGCTTCTATCCTTTTCATCCATTGCAGCTGGAGCTATTTGGTTTAAATCGGCTCCTACACTCTTCTGCCCAGAGCCCTTAAGTGGTTTCCTTTTTCCCCTGAATATGAACAGTCCCCATCCCCCACCTTCCTTTGTTCTCTCTGATCTTGTATTTTAATACTCTCCCTTGCTTTGGGTCCTCCAGCAACTCTGGCCTCCTTGCTATTCTCAAGTAGACCAAGTGATCCTGGCCCGGAGGAGTCAGCTTCACTTCCCCTGTGCCTCAGTTGCTGCTCCTCCTGGTGGCCTCACAGCTTGCTCCCAAATCCCCATCATGTCTCTGCTCACAGATCACATTTGTCACATATAAAACGGCAGGCTCCTTCCCCTGCTACTCTTTACCCCTCTCACCCTGCTTCATTTGTCTTAGCACTTAATATCACCTGACAGGTTGTGTATTTCCTTATTGTCTGCTCTCCTCCTTGGAATGTGAACTCTGTAAAGTCAAGGATTTTCTTTTGTTTCCTGCTGTATCCCCAATGCCTAGAAGAGTCCTAGCACATGTCAGGTGCTCAGTAACTACTTATTAAATGAATGGATGAATGAATGGATGAGTAAAAAGGACTCGAATATATAGTCTTGATATAAATTTCAGGAGTTAAGAAAGAGAGGATGGGGAAAAAGTAATATAAAAGCTTAAGAAATCTATACTTATTTTTCATCTAAGTTTACCATGCTACTTTTTTTAAACTGACAACCTTGCAGGGAAAGTGTACGTACTGCTTTCTATGTTATAGGTTGTGATTCCATTCTCTTCTAAATCACATCCATACTCTTCACTAGGCTCTTTATCCGCTGCATCTGCTGAGCTGTAAAGGCGGAGCACCTGCTGAGGGCTGCACCTGTCTGCCCATCCTCCTTTCTACCCTCCCCTCCCCCACCTTTTCTTGCTTCCAAAGAGGCTGGGGAGTCTCTGCATGTGGTCCTAAGCCACACCTCCCTGTAAATGAACTCCAATTTTATGCAAGCAGAAGCTCTGCTCTTAAGAGAGATTCAGGCTGTGGCACAACACTGTTGCCAAAATGTGACATTGTAGTTGTAGTTCATTCTATTACATAAAGTGATGGAGAAATCTTTGGAGGTCCAACATGGAGTTACAGAATATTCTAGCATAGAAAAAATGTCTGCGGCTTAGGGGGTAAATGAATTATTTGCTAAGAGAAAGAAAAGGGGGCTGGGTGCAGTGGCTCACGCCTGCAATCCCAGCACTTTGGGAGTCTGAGGTGGGAGGATCACTTGAGGCCAGGAGTTTGAGACCAGTCTGGGCAATATAGGGAGACCCCCCATCTCTACAAAAATATTTTTTAAAAATTAGCTAGGTCTGGTGATGTGTGCCTATAGTCCTAGCTACTTGGAGGCTGAGGCAGGAGGACTGCTTAAGCCCACGAGTTCCAGGCTTCAGTTAGCTATGATTGCAGCACTGTACTCGAGCTGGGTGACAGAGTGAGACCCTGTCTCAAAAAAATATAAAAGAAGCCGGGTGCGGTGGCTCAAGCCTGTAATCCCAGCACTTTGGGAGGCCGAGGCGGGTGGATCACGAGGTCAAGAGATCGAGACCATCCTGGTCAACATGGTGAAACCCCGTCTCTACTAAAACTACAAAAAATTAGCGGGGCATGGTGGCACGTGCCTGTAATCCCAGCTACTCAGGAGGCTGAGGCAGGAGAATTGCCTGAACCCAGGAGGCGGAGGTTGCGGTGAGCCGAGATCGCGCCATTGCACTCCAGCCTGGATAACAAGAGCGAAACTCCATCTCAAAAAATAAAAATAAAAAAAAAATAAAAAAAAAATAAAACAAAAAAAGAAATAGCCTCCAAGTTCTAAAAGACTTCCACAACTGCAATGCTGGCAGGTGTTATATCACTATTACAAGGACTGATATATATTACAGGCATGCAGCTATCATAACTCCTTTTTTTTTTTTTTTTTTTGAGACGGAGTCTTGCTGTGTCACCTAGCTGGAGTACAGTGGCATGGTCTCAGCTCACTGCAACACTCCCGGATTCAAGTGATTCTTCTGCCTCAGCCTCTTGAGTAGCTGGGATTACAGGTATGAGCCACCACACCTGGCTAATTTTTGTATTTTTAGGAGAGATGGGATTTCACCATGTTGGCCAGGCTGGTCTCGAACTCCTGAGGTGATCTGCCTGCCTCAGCCTGCCAAAGTGCTGAGATTACAGGCGTGAGCCACCATGCCTGGCCCAAGACTAATTTCTAAAATCAGAAGTTCTCAACTCAGAAAATCTGGTTCATGTTTCCTTTTAGGAATGTACTCACGACTTGCAATGGAAAACAGTGGAAAAATGGGATTTGCTTTATAAAACTTTCACCTATTTCTAGCTTTTCTGAAACATATTACTAAAGTCCCTCCTACTATTGTTTATTCCTATTTTCTTTCATTAGTCTTTAGCAGAGAATAGTCATTTACTTCTGTGGACATATTATCCTGGCCAAATGAGCTCTGGACTCTCTCTGCAGTGGGCAGACATGTAATTACACATAGCATCTACTCTCGTCTGGTAACAACACCATGGTGTTCTTTTGGGGAAATATCCCTTTCTTGCTCTCAGTATATGTGGAATGGGCTAACTATACCACTTTCTCCTCCTCCAGGTGTGAACTTGTATCCCAGGCTGGCCAATTAGGATCTTCCATCCCATCCCCTACCATGATTGGTTCAAGAATGGGCAATGAGATTCGAGCCTGAAACCTACATTGACACTACACTAGGGAAAGATAAATTCCCCTCCCCACCACCTGTTGAATATATTAACCTGGAGCTGCCAGTGGCCACCCAAGGATGACACCAGCTGGGTAAGGTGGCTCACATCTGTAATCCCAGCACTCTGGGAGGCCAAGGTGGGGGGATCACAAGGTCAGGAGTTCAAGACCAGCCTAACATGGTGTGGTGGCAGGTGCCTGTAATCCCAGCTACTTGGGGACTGAGGCAGGAGACTCTCTTGAACCTGGGAGGCAGAGGTTGCCATGAGCTGAGATCGTGTCACTGCACTCCAGCCCAGGTGGCGGTGAGAGACTCCATCTCAAAAAAAAAAAAAAAAAAAATGACACCAACACAGAGGAGAGCCAAGTTGAGAGGGAGGGAAAAGAGGAAGGGACCTGATGGCATCTTTTCAGCTCCTGGACCCATGTGTACTCTACCCACTGACTTTCTGGATACAAAAGCCAATAAACACCCTCTTATGTTTATGCCAGTTTGACTGTTTCTCAATGAAAAGAATCCTAACACTCTCTTTTTCAGATTAACATTTTTTTTTGTTTATTCCTAATTATTTTTAAGGTTTCTTTTTTTTTTTTTTTTTTTTTTCTTTTTTTGCCAAACTTTAAACTCACTAGGGAGCTTAAAGTCCTCCCAGTCTTCCATAAAAAAGTTGCCAAAGCAAAGCCCAGTTTCCTTGCTTCCCACAGTCCCAGGTCTAATAGCAATTGTTTATCTTCCTGCTGGCCTGCTCCACGGACTGCTGCCAAATGGCTGGCTGGCTGAGTTTTACCTTCTAGGATACAGTTACCACCTATGAGTTTATAAATCCCTGGAGAGTAACAGCAGTTCCCCCTTTATTCACCAGGCAGTGAAGAGAGTCATGCATGATGGTTAAGACTGTATAAGAATGAAAGGGATGAGATTTTCTTGGCTACTTTTATTTATTTCAAAAAAACTTTCTGTACTTTGACACTCTGTGGAAGAATGGCCATAATAACCTTCACATGACCCTAGGCCCATCACACTTGATAATTCCTTTGTGACTTGAAAATGGGGTAATTTCTGGGTCAGCACATGATTCAAGAAAACATCACACATCAATCCCTTTGGCAATAAGACCCAAATGACTGTGTGAGAGAGAACTCTTTCTGCTCTGATTGCAGGAAAATAGCTATGCGTTTTAGGATGTGGTGTAACAGATTAGATATGGAGAAGGTAAAAGTGAATCCAAACTGGCAAGAGTTCACAGAAGCATTCTGAGCTTCATTTGGAGGCAATGTATAGAATATTGGTGAATTAACTAAAAAAAAATGTTAGGCCGGGTACAGTGGCTCATGCCTATAATCCCAGCGCTCTGAGAGGCTGAGGCAGGTGGATCACCTAAGGTCAGGAGTTTGACACCAGTCTGACCAACATTG